AGGGTGGTGGTGGCGGTGAAGTTGGTGATGAAGGTGGTGATGAAGGTGGTGATGATGGTGGTGGCGGTGGTGGCGACGGTGGTGATGAAGGTGGTGATGGTGGTGGTGGTGGTGGTGATGTTTGTGGTGATGCTGGTGGTGCTGATGGTGGTGATGTTGGTGCTGGTGCTGGTGCTGGCGCTGGTGCTGGTAGTGATGATGGTGGTGATGATGATGTTGACGGTGGGGATGATGATGTTGATGGTGATGATGTGATGGTGGTGGTGATGGTGGTAGTGATGGCGGTGAGTGATGGCGGTGATGGTGGCGGTGATTGTGGTGATGGACTAGGCTTACCAGAATTCTAGACGCCCGCAAACCCCAGGGCACAGTACTGCGCCTGCCACAAAATTTGCACCTCAAGGTTCACACAGCCCTGCACCTGCCACGGAATCGGTACTTCAAGGTCCACATAGAACTGCGCCTGCCACGAAATCTGCGCATCAAGATTCACATCGCGCAGCCCTGCCAGGGCGAGTCGCAGCAAGAGCGCTTCCAAAGACAACATCAAGATGCCCAAGTGCAGGTTTCGCTCGAACTTCCTCCGATTTCTAAAAGTAAGCCACATGTCCACAAGTAAGGATTCATTGCGCCTGCCACGAAAACAGGGCACGTCGAAGACCACCACCCTGTCCAAAAAGTACTGCGCCTGCCACGAAATCTACACATCGACATAGAACCGCCCGGCCCACCAGATTCTGCGAGCCTATGCAGTCGAAATGCACTTCGAAGATCTCGAGGTGAATGAATGCACTGTAAATCAGCGGCGAATCTCCGATCAAGCACCCATCCTTAACCACTACCGTAAGAACCCCTAGTGCGGACACACTGTTTGGTCAACAAATTGGTAACATATATGTGTTTGGAATTAGAGAGATCACTTTGGTTCAACCTGATCCTGGTCACCTGCCCGAGTAGTTGAAGGAGCAATTCTCCTGAACTTGTCACAGGCACACCACAATTATGTGGTGACCTGTTTTGATATCATATATAGTAGGTGTTTGGCCCTGCGACACCAAACATCTGGATTCACCAAATACTGATAGGTCCGTTTCAATTGAATTGAACTGATTTGTAAATAACATAACTATTAACTATATGAGTATAGTATAGCAAGTATAGTTGCTGCACTTAACATATTTATATAACATTGAACTTATATTGAACTTAGCAACTACTTTGCGGGACTTATGAGTCTACTTAGGGACGAGTTAGTTTTCTTTAAAAAAACAGCTTTTCTTGGCTAGCCATGTTTATTGAGATTTCCTTGTATTCCCGTCGGTGTTTATAGATGTATACACCTCCAGCCCGTGGGCGGAGGCGGAGGCGGTGCAACACAAACCGGGCGCGGCCACAGAGGGTTGTCCATTCCCGCACTGCGGGCGCAGATGCGGTTTCCCTGCGTGGGAGGTCCACGGTTGGAGTGTATGGACATTCCTGTGGGGGATGCAATATTAAATTAATCATATTTATGTGTATCTCTATATTTATATATATATATATAGGCAGTCCGTCGACAATACTTTATAGAATACACGCCTAGTTCCTGGCCACGTTTCCACTGTCCTTATAAATATAGGGCTAAGGTGAACACCTTTCCAAGTGCCAACCAGCACTCTTGGACAACATGTACCGCGGAAGAAGCAGGGATGCAGGGATCGTTTTTTTCTAGCGCGCCGCGTAGTTCCAAAATACGTGCATGAAATACATGTGTTCCTTTCCAAAACATTGACATTTCAAGAATATTACATAAAAAGTCCGTTCGACTGAGCGGCTACTTAACATACTTAACGTGAACCGTGAACTTATGTTGAACTTATGTTGTACTTACTGAGTCAACATGAGTCATACGCTAACTAGCACAAATCGAAACGGACCTATGTTAATAGGCACCTTCACTGAAACATAATCTTGCTGCAGAGTGTTTGTTTGCCACGCCACCATGGAGATTTCATTGTCAATTGTTTGCGTTGGCGCCCCACAATTGATTTGCAAAATCAAGAAATATGAATGCGGCAAGCGACCGTTGTCATCATCCTCTAATTTAAAATCTCATGACATGTTTCTCAAATTATATAACTCATGTTGTTTGCATTCGTTTGCTTTGCTCTATTCAAAGAAGTCTTTGAGTCTTTTCTTGACATGTTTCCGCACACGGCTATTGAAGCGACCAGCTGATCCATGTGCCCCGACTTTGCCACCTGCCGCAGCTCTGCAGGTGTCATGTTCTCGAAACGAACAAGTTGCAGCAACTCCTTGCGACCAGAATGAATGGTCGGTTGAAGCGGGGCGGGCGTTCTTTTCCAAATGAAGATGAAGCACCAAAACCTGTAGTGAAGTTCCATCATGTCGATACGAAAAGCAAACACACAGACACACAAAGTTTCCCTTGTTCTCAGCAAACTGTGGTCCCACCGATTTCAACTGTGCCCAAGAATCCAACTTTTGCCTCCTTGCACTGGTTGACCCAAATGCTGACGTCACTTATTGCATCGAATCATTGTATGATGACAAGGGGCGCCTCACGTTCCAGGCGCTTGGTAGCTGCAGAGGTACGTAGGTTTCATGGCTTTGCAGAGGCAACAAAAAGTAAGTGCTACGGGATGTTGGGGGTAGTGGCGTTGAACCCGGCCTTGCATAGGAATCAGTCGCGCCACGACCACAAGCGATGTCGCTCGAACGGAAACCCCTCCTCTGGCACACCAGCAGCTGCTGCAGCTGGCCTGCATGTTGTCACAACAGTGCACCCAACAACATGAAGCAAGCGCTGGCCCGCCACGAGCGAATCACTGGCAAGGGAACACTTGGAGCAAGCAAAGCTGCAGAGGCAAGAGTTCGCAGTCGGCACTAGAGGGCGCGCTCCGCGCAGCTCGTTGGATTGATATGGGTGGCTTGATGGCGGGCAATGGAAGCTGTTCATATGATGTCTGTTCGACGGAGCATGTTTACAAATGCAGAAGCTGGCGTACATGCTGCTCAACTTGGATACTGTATTTTGCCGCCTGTATGATCCTACCAGAGCTTCATAGATTGGGGCGACCACCGATCTCCTGCAAATGGAGCCATGATGGCACTTGATTGATGGACCGGTGGATGGTGTGAGTTGCTATGCCTCTGGAGTTGGTGTGGGCCTCCAGGTCCATACCCCTGGTGTGGAGATTGTTTGCCCGGACAGGGCTCATAGTGCACCTGTACTTGCACCTGTGCATCCTCTTTTCCGAGAACACAGCATCACCTGAGGTGGCCGCTCTGTTTTTCTGGGGACTTTGCAGCACTTGGCTGGAGAGACCGACCTGATGCATGACCTGAGTGGACAACGAAAATTGCCTCATCAAGCTTCCTGCCTTCAACTCTATTGTGAACAAAGGCCTGCTTGCCTTTCGCAATCAAAGTAGAAGTGCACCCGAAGCTCAGCATTTAAAGGCAAAAAAAAAAACTGCCATGCACACCACTAAGTACGTAGTACTATGTAAACCCTCGGGTGTAATGGTGACCTGGCAAATGATCCCTGATGTAGATGTCAGATGTACAAACACCATTACCTACGCCAAATCGTTGACGCCAAACATGTCTCACACAGAAGCTGCGGGCCGTTGTTGGATGTCCAACGGAAACCCTGGCCGAAGCCCAACACAACATCGCAAGTGTGAAACAGGACGGATCCAAGTTCTCCAATCTGTTGCTGCCCACGGATTGAAAGGACATTTGAGGGTTTCTCCCTTCTCCAACACCCCAACGCCCGAAGGGCAGGGCGCTCCGCAGGTCTTGCCCAGCCCCTGGTGAAGGGTACCAGGGAAGCTGGTTGATCCCTGCTGACGAGTGGTGTCGCACGTCGGGGCCCTTTCCCGAGACACACGAGTCGTCCAGGTAGACGAGCAAAACAAGTCGTCCTGCGCAGCCTTTCATTCACTGGTGGTGGGCGACAAAGGAAAGCCTTCTTAGCTTGTGTCTATTTGTGAACTTATCACATGTCCTTCTTAAACAATTGGGCCGATTTGTTGCATTCCCTGCTCTGTCAAAATTCGATAAGCGATGATCCTGCCAGCCCTCTGACCTGCCAGCTGGCAGCTCGCCACCTGCCATCGTTGGAGACGTGGGTTGCGGGTTGCTGAGACTATCTCTAATTGCGCATCTAAAAAGACCACTATTAGTGCAAAGTAAACGGTATGCCCTGAACGGTTCAGGGCCAGCCTGCAAGTATGGAAATCAGTCGAAGGTTGTTTCATGACAACAGGGGGCCCTCTCCTAGCTCGTAATGGTCAAATAGTTGGAGCAATGGAGGCATGCTTTGCATCATGGACGCATGCCTTCATTGAATCATGTTTGGTACGTTTTCTGTTCAAATGGTTGGCAACCAGGAGGTACTAGCGCAGTCATAAGTCAATCGACCCAGCTCATCGTTTTCCTTTCACCGATCGTGCTGGCAAACCACCTGACTTATGTTGTGTTTTTGTGGGCTTCCACTAGGAAAGGCCCATCTTGAAAAAAAAAAGCGATCTAAATTGAATCTACTGTAAATCCAAAAGAAAAGCAAACCAAAAGTGCAAGGAAAAAGGACCTAGGTTGACGCAAGCCAAAAAAGAAACAAACAAAAAAGTATATCGCTATATATATATAGACTGATCCATTGCTGCAAAAAGGAAAGCACAACATGACTTTCCTAACGGTCATTCCCCTTCTATTGAACAGCCAGTTGTTCTGTTGGTAGGGTTGATTGCTTTTTGCAATTTGCTGGGCAGTGTGTCTTGCTTGCATTTTTTCCTTTGGGTTGATTTTGCATTTTTCTTGCTTGTTTTCCAAGTTTTTTTGAACCTAGCGCAAGCCCAAAAGCACTTCATAACACATTATCATTGCATGGTAAATGCAGAGTTAATGTATAATTATCCGAAACTAAAGCCCTCAAAACTTGATTAGATCATATTAGATCTCTAAAATCACAACATGCGCAGCTTCACACCATTTCACACCAACGTTTCCACTCGCATCCTCTTGAAGCTTTGAAAGGACTCCAGCAAATGAGCAATATCCAAATGGCCGTTCTCAGCTGCCAGTTGGGAGGCTGTAACCCCATCCTTCCGTGCACGAGTTCCACAAGCGCCGAAGTTCAACAAGACCTGCACCACTTCCAGCTGGCCCTCAGAGGCTGAGGCATGCAGGGGCGTCATGCCATCGTCATCTGCACGGTTCACCTCTGCACCTCACGGCTCACCGAACGGAAGAACGGGCGGAAGGAGGGCGGTCCGTGGCGTTTTTTGTGAAAGGAAAAACCAGATGGACAAGAAGAGACACAAGATGGATATATGAGGATCCCATGTTGATCTTGTGTCTCAACCAGGGACATGGAAGAACGGTTCCAAAGATGTTCATCGTGTCTCTACTTTCCATGTTGGCACCCCCCCATCAGCCAACCTCCCAACCAAAATCGCCCCTTAATCAGTCAGGCACCAGCTTCGAGCAGCAGCTTTACCACTTCCGACTGACCCTTCTGAGCTGCCAAGTACAAAGGTGTTGCGCCATCATCAGTCATGGGGGCATCCTTGTCCGACCCTGCTTGCAGCAACAAACGAACCAGCTCCAAATAGCCTTCATATGCGCAGGCATGCAAAGGGATGGTGCCGTCATCTGTTCGAGCTTTGTCCTTTTGAGCTCCTGATTCCAGCAAAAGGCGGGCAACTTCCAAGTGGCCATTCTGAGCTGCCAAATGTAAAGCGGTTGCACCATCATCGGTCATTGTCTTGTCTTTGTCAGCACCCGCTTGCAGCAATAGGCCCACAATCTCTAGGTGGCCTTCATACGCCGCAGCATGCAATGGAGAAGTGCCATCATCTGTCCTGGCTTTGTCCTTGTCAGCGCCTGCAGCAAGTAACAAGCGCGTGATCTCCAGATGTCCTTGGGACCGGGCCGCACTGGGCCGAACAACCGCCGTTCGTCATCGACTCAGGGACCATGAACATCCAAACAAAACAGTGATACGTTTAAACGTGTTATCAATGAGATCCAATGAGTATATCGTGCGTCTCCGTGTAGCATCTGGAGTTTTTTAGGCCTGCCATCCTCTGACCTTGGGGCTTCCCCAAAGCAGACCTGTACACATTTCCACCAGGTGAATCAGTCTCTGCTTGGAAATGATCAAATGATCCCCTTTCCTCCTATATTCTCGCAGTACACCCAGAAAAGCAATATGCACAAATCATGAGCATTGATTGGGACTCGGACAAACACTGATGTCCAACTTGATTGACAACGCAAACCTTCAGCAACTAAATCCGACCGCTTCCGACCGCTCCAGGCGTCCATTTTGTGCCGCAAAGACCAAGGCCGTGGCGCCGTCGTCGCTCCTGGCCTTGTCGACTTGCGCTTGCAGTTCCAGTAGAAGGTGAGTGACTTCCAAATGGCCTAGGGGCGCGCTTCTACTAGGGTGGAGGCCATCGCTACTGGGGTGGAGGCCATCCCTACTAGGGTGGAGGCCATCACTACTAGGGTGGAGGCCATCGCTACTAGGGTGGAGGCCATCACTACTAGGGTGGAGGCCATCGCTACTAGGGTGGAGGCCATC